TCGTGATCCCGCCACCTGCGCTCCTGTGTTCCGGGCACCGTTCTCCTCGTAGGGTTACCACCTTGCAATCTGGACGTTGATGTGAAAAGATTTCTCAAGGAAGGGAGGCGGGAGAGCGACGGGGTTGATTTGTGGGTGTCTTCCAATTCGTTACCCAGCAGTGTGGGCTTCGGGACTTTTCAGACACGGCTCCAGAGATGGTTTGAGCATTGGACTACGACTCTGGAGAACAGGGCTCGAATTAGTGCTTAGCCATTTGGAGATGGTAAATTGTATCTTTTATTTATTTATTTATTTATTTATTTATTTATTTGGTGCATTTATTGACCGCCGCTCTCAGCCCTTGTTTATTTATTATTTATTTTTTATTTATTTATTTATTTGGTGCATTTATTGACCGCCGCTCTCAGCCCTAGGGCGACTCGCGGCGGTGTACAGCATATAAAAACAGTTTACAAAAACAGAAACAAGCAATCCACACAACAATAATATACAATACTATAAGTTACACTAAATAATCCGCTCCGTCATATCATAGAATCATATCCAATATCGTAGTCCATATTCCGTTCCAGATGTCAATTACCAGTTGCCGTAATATTCAGTTAAATGCCTTCTCGAAAAGCCAGGTCTTTAGGTTCCTACGGAAGGACAAAAGGGAGGGCGCCTGTCTGATGTCAACAGGGAGGTCGTTCCACAGCCGGGGGGCCACCACCGAGAAGGCCCTCTCTCTCGTCCCCGCCAGGCGTGCCTGTGAAGCAGGCGGGATCGAGAGAAGGGCCTCCCCAGATGATCTCAAGGTCCTCGTGGGCTCATAGGCCGAGATGCGGTCCGAAAGGTATTTTGGGCCGGAACCGTTTAGGGCTTTGTAGGATAACACCAGCAACTTAAATTGGGCCCGGTAGCAGATCGGCAGCCAGTGGAGCTGGGACAACAAGGGCGTTGTGTGCTCCCTGCGTCCCGCTCCGTTAGTAACATGGCTGCCGCACGCTGGACTAGCTGAAGCTTCCGGGCCGTCTTCAAGGGCAGCCCCACGTAGAGAGCGTTGCAGTAGTCAAGCGGGATGTGACCAGAGCGTGTACCACCGTGGCCAAGTCAGACTTCCCAAGGTACGGGCGCAGCTGGCGCACGAGCCTAAGCTGTGCAAATGCTCCCCTGGTCACCGCTGAAACCTGGGGATCCAGGCTCAATGATGAAGCCAGGGTCACACCCAAGCTGCGAACCTGCGCCTTCAAGGGGAGTGCGACCCCATCCAGCACAGGCTGTAACCCTATACCCTGTTCGGCCTTGCGACTGACCAGGAGTACCTCTGTCTTGTCTGGATTTAATTTCAGTTTGTTCGCCCTCATCCAGACCATTACAGCGGCCAGGCACCGGTTCAGGACCTCGACAGCCTCCTTAGTAGCAGGTGGAAAGGAGTGACAGAGTTGGACATCATCTGCGTACAGATGACACCGCACCCCGAAACTCCGGATGATCTCACCCAGCGGCTTCATGTAGATATTAAACAGCATGGGGGACAGTATAGAGCCCTGTGGAACCCCACAGGTCAAAGGCTGTGGTGTTGAACAGGAGTCCCCCACTAACACCTTCTGGGTACGACCCTCCAGAAATGACTGGAGCCACTGCAAAGCAGGGAATGACTACAGGGAAGACCATGGCTTTGACTAGGCAATGGATCTTGGTTGCCAGTCTGATGTCTCTACTCTTCACTATTTTATCGAGATTGGACATTGCTCTCCTCCCAAGAAGTAAGCGTCTTCTGATTTCCTGGCCACAGTCTGCATCTGCAGTAATCTTTGCACCTAGAAATACAAAGTCTGTCACGGCCTCCACGGTTTCTCCCTCTATTTTCCAGTTGTCAATCATTCTTGTTGCCATAATCTTGGTTTTTTTGACGTTTAGCTGCAACCAATATATTATATTATATTATATTATATTATATTATATTATATTATTATAATACTATTATATTATAGTATTGTATATATTATATTATATTATTATATTATATTTTATTACTATATTATTATATTATATTATTATTGTATAATATTATATAATATTATATATATAAAAAAGGTAAAGGTAGTCCCCTGACATTAAGTCCAGTCATGTCTGACTCTGGGGTGTGGTGCTCATCTCCATTTCTAAGCCGAAGAGCCAGCGTTGTCCGTAGACACCTCCAAGGTCATGTGGCCGGCATGACTGCATGGAGCGCCGTTACCTTCCCTCCGGAGCGGTACCTATTCATCTACTCACATTTGCATGTTCGAACTGCTAGGTTGGCAGAAGCTAGGGCTGACAGCGGAGCTCACGCCGCTCCCCGGAATCGAACCTGCGACCTTGATCAACAAGCTCAGCAGCTCAGTGCTTTAACCCACTGCGCACCGGGGGCTCCCAATATTATATATATAATATAATATATTATAATATAAAGTAATATAATATAATAATATAATATAAAGTAATATAATATAATAATATAATATAATATACAATAATATAATATAATATACAACAATATAATATAATAATATTATAATAATAATATAATGTAATGTAATGTAATATAATATAATATAATATAATATAATATAATATAATATAATATAATATAATATAATATAATATAATATAATATAATATAATATAATATAATATAATATAATATAGTTGTTTTATCACACCAACAGTCAACAACAGAGGGAGAGGGAAGCTTCAGAAGTTCCCTGTCCCATTTGGAGGTTTTTTTAGCATATTGCGCAATCGCATCTGCCATTAACGAATCGATTCGTAATTTACGAAATTTCGGAAATTTCGAAATTTTGAAATCTTAAATTTCGGAAGTCCTCAGAATTTCGAAACGCTAGCGCACCCTAGAAACGAAACGAGTTTAGAACCATTTGTTTTCTTGATCGCCCAAGCCTAGTATCTTTGTGTCTTGGTCTTTAGGCCTGTTCCTGGGCTGACTTCAGGCATAGATTCAGAAAAATGGCATTGAATAGACAACGTCAGCCCTCCTTTCTTAGATATGGTTATCATGGCTTTCTGTGGACAAGAAGATGGCAACTGGTAGATAGCATATTTATTTATTTATTTATTTCGTATACTTCTACCCCACCCTTCTCAACCCCCTAGGGGGGACTCAGGGTGGCTTACAAAATGGCACAAGTCAATGCCTACACAATAATACAATAAATGTATAAAAACAGCAGTTAAACAGTTAAACAATTAAAACAACAATATATATCACAGTCAATAGCCAATCTCAAGCACGGCGTTCGCCAACTCAGAGTCCATACTTCGTTCCACATTGTCTATTCCTATCCGTCGTCGTAATCCTTTATTTATCTGCCAGATTGCCCAAATGCCTGGTCCCACATCCATGTTTTTAATTTCTTTCTAAAGGAAAGAAGGGATGTCGCTGATCTAATTTCCTTGGGGAGTGAATTCCATAGGTGAGGGGCCACCACTGAGAAGGCCCCGCTCCTCGTCCCCACCAGCCTCACTTGTGACAGCAGTGGGGTCGAGAGCAGGGCCTCCCCAGATGATCTCAAACTCCGGGGTGGGACGTAGAGGGAGATACGTTCGGACAGATACACTGGATCGGAACCGTACAGGGTTTTATAGGTCAAGACCAGCACCTTGAATTGTGCTCGGAACTGAACCGGCAGCCAGTTGACCTTGAGTTTGGAAGTTGTTGTTCACCTACATCCAGAGAGCACTGTGGACTCGAACAATGATAGATCTGGACCAAACTTGGCACTAATACTCCATATACCCAAATATGAACACAGATGGAGTTTGGGGAAAATAGACCTTGACATTTGGGAGTTGTAGTTACTGGGATTTATCATTCACCTCCAATCAAAGAGCATGCTGAACTCCACCAACGACAGAATTGGGGCAAATTTCTCACACAGAACCCCCATGACCAACAGAAAATACTTAAGGCCATCCAGTCCAACCCCCTTCACCGGGGCAAGAAAACATAATCAAAGCCCTCCTGACAAAGAGTCATCCAGCCATAGATGTAGATAGATAAGATTTTCACACAGAGAGAGATATAGTATCATAGATTTGAAAGAGACCCCTGAAGAAGGACAACGATATGTTGTATGTTCCAGAGTAGGCAAACCAGACAATATCCACATCAACACTGACAAAGAAATAGCAAGAAATACTCTTTACCCACAAGCATAAAGAAATTACATGTATTAGAAATCAACACTTTCTCATTACTTTATTTCCCAGATCAGCAAACTGGGCCACAGAAACGCCTGGCAGGGACGGCTAGTTCTTAATAACATCAGCTTTCTCTAAAGTCCTGAAAAATTGGGTTTTCTACAAGGATCAGATTGGCCAAACCCAACTAGAAGAGAGCTACTGGATCAAGGGTTAAATCATCGTCGATACTTAAATAAATCATATTGATTTAATGGATTGACTCTAGGTGGAGCTTCCTATATTTGTATGTATTTTTTTTTTGGTCCTCAGCCTTTCTAGATTTTAATCTGATAGTTGGATGATGATTGATAATTAAGTAAATCTCATTAATTTAACAGGCTGACTATAGCTGACCGAAGTTTTTGGTTCTCAACTTACCCCTCCTTTCTAGACTTTATCCTATCAATAGTTAGATGATTGGCTAATATTTAGTTAAATCTCATTTATTTAATGAGTTGACTCTACCTTGGTATCCTTGGTTCTCAACTTGACCCAACTTGACCCACACACATACACACACACACACACACACACAATACAATCGTTTGGTTTGCTCCTGATATGATAAATAGATACAATCAATGGTACCAGATCTTAAAGTAGATCAATAGTTGGATGATGACCAATACTTAAGGAGATCTCATTTAATTGACAGGCTACTTGATTCTCGTTGGGGATAACAATATCATTTGACCCATTGTCTTCCAACCTATCCCTTTCTAGACTGTATCCCACCTGAGGCCAAAACCCAGTGGGCAGAAGATCCTTACCAATTTTTTAGGACGAGCGTCGTGATCAGAGCAGCAATGACCATGATGAGAGAGACGGTGATGGTGATAATCTGATGGACAGCCAGACCTGTAGAGGAAATAAAAAATAAAAGGAGAATGGAGATGCGTAAAGGAAGCAAAAGAAATCTTGGATGGGCAGCAAAGGATCCGGCTCGACCCACTGGGGACAACTGGATGTTGAAGTGGGTCAACTGGATATTGATGTTGCGCATGAAGCCAAGGAAATGTTACAGCTCAAGCATTCCCCAGCTCCATTTTTAATCCTTTTTTGAGGCAGTTAGACCTACCATATATACTCGAGTATAAGCTGACCCAGATATAAGCCGAGGCATCACATTTTACCACAAAAACCTGGGAAAACGTATTGACGATATACGATATAAGCCGAAGGTGGAAAATGCAGCTGCTATGGGTAAATTTCAAAATAAAAAATACAGTGTTCCCTCGCTACTTGAAACTGCTGGGAGAGGTCATCCGGAATTTTGGAGTACAGTGCCATCTCTACGCAGATGACACCCAACTCCACTACTCATTTCCACCAGATTCCAAGGAAGCCCCTCGGATACTGGACCAGTGCCTGGACGCTGTGAGGATCTGGATGAAGACTATAATGAAGACAGAGGAAATTATTTGGGGGAAATTTAATCCTACAAACTGTCACCAAAATTGTAAAAGGACAGGGATTTATCTGATAATAAAAATTCCAATACTGAACACCACTTGTATTGGAATTAGGCTTCTGCGTTTACAAGCTCCCAAACCCAAAAAGCTGTGATAGAAAGCTGGCACTTTCTTCTTGGCCAAAAAAATCCTTTTTGAAAGCGTACTGGCACCCACCAACTTAGAAGTGCTGATAAGCCCTTGTCTTATTTGAGGTAACCTAAGAAAGAGTGTGATTGTATTAGCCCTTAGGCTTGTGTTTCTGAGGTACCCTTTAAAAATAGTTCTTTAAAACAGCCTTCAGACTGAGAACAGCGGTATATAAGCAAAGTAAGTAAGTAAATAAATAAATAAATACGCTGCCACCATTAAGTTATTGATTTCTGCTTAAAGCTGCGTTTGAACCATTAAGCACAGAGGCACACTTGAGGCAGATGTAATGAAAACTAAACAATGAAGTTTATTTACAAGAACAGGAACAATGCAGGTACTAAGCCTGGCTGTTACAGAGATTTGTCTTGAAAGCATAATGGTTACAAAAACAGTTCTGACTTAGTTACACAAGAATACTGACAGGATAGCTTCTCTCACAGTGATTCTCCACCAGCACAAGAATACTGACAGGATTGCCTCTCTGACAGTACTTCTTCACCAGCACAGATAGTCCTAACCTGGCTCTATCTCTCTGTTTCCCAGCTATCTTCCTAATAGCTATAAACCTTCCACTAGCTAACCCTGCTAGCAACTGGCCAATCTCAGGCCTTTTCCTAACCCTCTACACCATCTCCAATCTCCCTTGAACACCCAAGATCAATCTCCTGACAGGGATTTAAAATCTCTCTTTAAAGACAATTATTTTTTTCCAAGTTAGGCTCCGCCCACTCTAACTTAGCCAATCACATTCTTCTCTGATCACTCTGAGATCAGAGTGAAGAGAGAGCCCAGGAAGACAGTT